AGAAATTTTTGTACTCTCTCACTTGTAATTTGTAATTTTCTTTTTACTTTACTTTTAATAAAGATTGTGCAAAGCTACCACACGTTAAAATAAAAAAAAAAAAAAAAAAATATAATAAATAAAATTATTTAAAAATTTTTAAGACTAATTAAATTTAATAAAATTTATAATTCTATTTTTTTTTTATAAATATTATCTACAAATTTCTAATTAATTGATTTTCTTTTTAGATTTTAATTCAATTTAAAAATATATAAGTAATATAATAAAAAATTTTTTTAAAAAAAAAGAATATTAATATTATGTCTTAAATTGTAAAGGTTTATAACTACTTATTTAATATAAATTCCTTTTTGATTTACTTTATGAAAAATTAAAATTTTTTAAAAAATTTTTTTAAATTAATTTTACAAATATGTATTATATTATATTAATTCTTATTTTTTAATTATATAATAAATAATTTACAGTTACTTATAAGCTAAAAATTTGTAATATTTAAAAAAATTTTAAATTAAAAAATTTTATTATTGATCTTTAATAATCTCATTAACATTTACTTTTAGCAAGATTAATCATAATAGAATATTATAAAATTTATTATAAAGAATAACTTTAATTATTATATTTTTTATAATTTACTAAGAAATTTTATAATTTTTATTAATAGTAAATTGATTCAATTAATTTGCAAATATATAAATTATTATAATAAATTTTTTAAAACTTAAATCTAAAAATTTAGGAAATTTTTATTTAGTACATTATGTATTTTGTGTATCTTATATTTTACATAATAATTATCAAAAAAATAAGTATAATAATGTAGTAATTTTTAATTTATTTTATCAAATATGCAAATCTGATTCAATAAATTGAGCATTTTATACACTAAAAATATTAATAAGTTTTATTCTCATAAGGAATACTTTTTTCAATAAAAATCTCTTGCTTTTTATGTCTTTTTAGATTATTTTATTCTTCGTTCAAATGTTTTTTTAAAGAATTTACCAGTAATTAAAGAGAGTTGAGTTGAGTTTAAATTATTACTAGAATTTAAGCCTTTAACTTAAATTCCAGTAATAATTTAAGCTATTTTCTAATTTTCTTAAATCTTATTCTACAACCCATTTAGATTCACTATTCTTTTTTTCTAATAAATTGTTGAGAAGATTAAATACATTTTTTTTATAGATACTTTTTTATGTTAAACCATGTAAATTGCATTATATAAATTTTGTTTGATAACATGATGCTGATATTTATTTACAAGCATTTAGTATTGCTTATTTATTTTAATATTATTTTTAAGGGTCTAAAATCGAATATCTTCTAAGTTAGTTATTAAAATTAAAGTAAAAAATTTACTACTTGAAGGTTAAGAGTGTGTCTTTTATATTCACCAATAAAAGTTGTTACAATATATCCTCCATGTTTTTTACTGATATTAATGTGTTATGGACAATTAACCTTGCAAGAAGTTTTGTTTTACTGTTTATCAAGATTAGCTACTTTTTTTGATTTGTATATTCCTGAATGATTACATAAAAATGTATATTTTATAATCTTATCATTATTCTTTTTCTTTAAGTGATTCTTTCTATATCTAAATCCTTTTATATATAATAATTATCAAAAAACAATATAATTTCTTTTCATAATACAAAGTATTTACCAATATAAAGATCATCTATTTCATCTATTTTTTCTTCATCTTCTAGCTCATTATTATTATATTCTATTTTACTCTCATTAGTCTCTTTATCGCTTTGAATATCATTAATTTCATTATCTTTATTATTCATATTTTTTTTGTTTTTTTTGAAAAAGAAAATTAAATTGATCCAAATTATGATTAGTATTAATAAACTATTATTATATATTATTCATCAAATGATATTAAATATATACATTATTAACGTTATTCTTTCCGTCAAATAAGTTAACTATGATTTGAAGTCAGAGAGGCAATAACTTTAATTTAAATCTAATCAATTTGATATGCTGTTTATTAAAGAGTTTATTTAGTTAACAAAAATAAAATTATAAGTTTTAGATTTGCAAAATATTAAGATTGTTTATTATTATTATTAAATGTATATTGAATACAATGTTGAAAACTGTTAGAATCTATCCTTTTTCTAAGGCATTTTCATGCTCTTTATATAAGAGAATTACAATTAAAGAAAATCTATAGTATTTATAATACTATTGATAATAATAACAGAGCTAACAGATATGCTAATTATGTTAAATATAAAAAAAAATAATATATATATTAGATATAATAATAATGATGATAATAATAGAAATAAAATAAATTATAAACATGTCTTATTTGGCAAATATGTCATATTTGACATATATATTATATTTGACAGGTTTATCATTTTTTGTCAGTTTTAACGTTGATACTATGTGAAGTTAATCTTACTATGCTATAAAGATTGATAAATAATCAATATTATTAACATTTTTATTTTTATTTTATTTATTTTATTTTTATATTTTATTATTATTATTTATTATATTATTATTATTGTTAAATTATATTTATCTTTTATATTTATCTTAGCATTATAAAATAGTTTAACATTAGATAGTAATTTCTTATAATTGTATTTTTGTATAAATAAAATAGAAATTGTTCTTGTAAAAGGACAGAAATAACAGTGATAACTCAATAGTTTGAGTTTAAGACTTAGAATCCAAAGTTAAGAATTACTAAAAATACAAATCTTTATAATAAAAGAATCTCTTTCTAAATTATATACATATTAAAATCCTTCAATGTGTTAATTATGTTTATTGTATTTACAAATTGTTAAAAGTTATTTACTTGTTTAAAGCATAACTTAAGGTTTATTATGATAGAATTTATTTTACAGTAACTTAGTAGTTTCTCATATATTACTTTGTGTTATTAAGTCATTATTACTCTAAGTTCTACAGGCTAAGCATAGGATTAACAACGTGATCAAATTTTATAATGTACAAAATGCATAGAAGTATCATTTAAATTTTCTCTAAAAATTAAATTATTTAAAAAAATATTTTATAATCTTAAAATTTCTTTTAATAAATTAAAAAATATATATTAAACTATATTCTCATATAATTAATATATTACTAAAATTAATATTTAATAATTTATTAAAAAAAAATAATATATATTTTTTAAGTTTATAGACAAATTTGCCTATTAGATAATTTAAGAAATAATTAAAAAAAAATCTATTATACAAAAATTTTTTAATATTTTTAATATTTAAATTAAAATATATAAAATTAATATATTTTACAGTAAAAAAAAAAAAAATTATTAAAAAAAAAGAATTTTTTTTTATAAGCTAAATATTATTTTTTTTTTAATAAAATAATTTCAAATTTAATATTAATTTTTTTTAAGTTTTCTTTCTTTTTATTATAAAATCTTTATATAATAAATTATTAAAAATTTTAATATTTTTTATATATTTTAAGATATCTCTTAAATTATAAGTATAAATACTTAAAATATTTTAATACTTAATGATTATAAAAAAAAATAAAATAAATTTATTAGATTTATTATATTAAAATATATTTAATAATAATATTTTTAAATTTTTAAAATTAATAATTTTTAAAAATAATATATTATGTAAATTATTTAAAATAAAATTCAGTTTATTGGATTCATTTTATTAAAACCTATTAAATGATAGTATTTTTATATTTTGAGATTAATAGATAGCAAAATATATAAATTTTAAATTTAAATTTTTTTTTAATAATAATTTATTATTTATTTATCTTTAAATTTACTAGTTAATTACAATTTTTTTAATTTTTGCTTATAAAATATTATAAAATTTATTATAAAAATATTAATTTTTTTTAATAATTTATTTTAAAATATTTAAAATAATTAAAAATGATTTCAATTTATAAATAAAATTGCCTACAAATTTGTAAAACAATTAAAGTGATAATATTAAAATTTAATATTTTAAATAAAAATTAGATAAGATAATTACTAATTTTTAATTATTACTTTTTTAAATTTCTTTAAAAAAAAGCAAAAAATTATATTAATTTTATTAAATTAATCTAATTAATAAATGCTATTAAATAATTAAAATATTAATGTTTTAAAAAAAAAAAATACTTTTTTTAAGATATTTAAATATATAATAAAAAAATATTTATTAACGTTTATTAATAAAATTTGAAATAATAAAGAAAGTTAAAGATTAATTCATTTCAAATAAAGTATAAACCAGCCATATATTGTTTAAATATATTGATCAAAATATTTTTTATAATATTATACAACTACTACAACTAATACCATTTTTAGCTATAAAAGGATCAGCTGGTCCAGCTGGTCCCCATACAGAAGGAACAAGATAATCTTTGGTAGATTTAACATAATTAATAATCCTTTAATTTAAAAGAAAAAGTTAAAAAAAGATTTAGAATGTGAAATTAATTACGTTTCAAACTTACGTTGAACTTGCTTGAGATACTCTTACTCTTGGTAAATCCAATTGTTCACGAAGGCGTTGATTATGATCCAGTATTCTTTGAAACTTATATTCTGAAAAGTTTTTTACTTGTGAGGGCATTCTCTTTAACAAATCGGAAGTTTATAAATGAAATGATCTATCTTGAAATAAGGTATAAATATGAAAATAAATACGTTAATGGATAAATATATATAATTCTTTTTAGAATTTTCTTATTTGTTGAGCGCAACGTTACAAGTTTAAAAGAATGACTTGGTTAGAAAATTATAAAATGAAAGAAAGAAACGATAATTATAACAATTTTTAATGTTACCATAAATTAATATTAAAAATTTCTCACGGGGCATATGAAACACTAGTCATGTGGGGATATTCATTACTAAAAAAGTTTTAGTCATTAAAATTTTATCAATAATATATCGCGTCTGTGCTAAATTTTCTAAAAATGTTTTCGAAGACATGGCAACAAAGTATGATTTTTATGGGTATTCTCTAACTAATTTCTAAAACATGATACTATTATAATTTACAAATTACATATGTTATTGCTTTGGAAAAGAACATTTCGCATTGCCACAACTATTCTCAAGCATTCTCGACTCCTCTATCCAAAGATAAATTTCCGTAGTTTAAGCACAGGTTTAATATTATTAATTACATAAATTAAAATTTATGGAATTATTAAAATAATTTTATTGTAATTCTTAGGCAACACGAAAGTTTCTTGTGAGGATCATGAACCTTCTTTTTTGGATTCTGTTATGATATATTATGATAAGGTAGCTAATAAATACTTTCCTGTACTATAATTTTTGTAATTTTGAACCAAATGCGTTTTGAATTTCGTAATAGGCGGCAAGGTTTAGTGGAGTATCCGAAAAGACTCTCTCTCATCTCAAAGCTCCAGATTGTTCACTTCAAGTTACATTTCCAATTGAGGTGATTTTTTTAATAATAAAAGAAAGGAGTTTTATAAATACCATATTTTATATAAAATTCATTAACTATAAATTTTTAAGATCGAAGATGATAAAGTCGAAATATTGACAGGTTATCGAGTTCATCATTCACGTCATTTGCTTCCTGTGAAAGGAGGTATACGGTAAGCATAAGTGGGACCTTTGCAATAGAAAGGGGAGAAATTGCCAGAAAAAAAATCCATTTTGCTTTTATATGCCAATTCAGGTTGAGATTTAGCATTTTACTCATTTTTTATTTTCCCGGCAGTTTCCCCTTTCTATTGCAAATCTCATGTCTATCACGTGATACATTATATTTAATAAATAATTATTTAAATAATTCATAGATTTTCTCCTGAAGTCGAAGAACAAGAAGTCTCAGCCTTGGCTGCGCTTATGACTTATAAATGTGCTATTGTCGACGTTCCCGTAAGTTTATATGGATATTTTTTTTATTATTCAAAAGAGAAATCATAAATATAATTGATATCATATTCAGTTTGGAGGAGCAAAAGGTGGAATCGCAATTGATCCCAAAAAATTTACTGTAGCACAATTGGAAAGAATTACACGACGTTATACAGTAGAACTATGTCAAAAGGTGATTTTGAGAATTTTATTTTTTTCTTATTTTTTATTATATTTTTTTTTTTTTTTTTTTTTTGTGTTGATCAGACTAATATATTATATTTTCAGGCATTTATTGGACCAGGTGTTGATGTCCCTGCACCAGATGTGGGTACTGGAGCACGTGAAATGGCATGGATCATGGATACGTATAGACAATTTCATCCTAATGATGTAGATTCGATTGGTTGCGTCACCGGTAAACCGATATCTCTAGGTGGCGTTAGGGGAAGGAACGAAGCTACTGGAATAGGTGTGTATTATTGTGTAAGAGAATTTCTCTCTTATCCTGAAGTACAAAAAGCAACTGGACTTAGTGAAAAAATTAGGGATAAAAGAATTGTCATTCAAGGCTTTGGTAAAGTTGGTTATTTTGCTGCAAAATTTTTTGAAAAAAATGGGTTTGTATTATATCATTTGACTACTTTAAGTCATTGATTTTTTTTTAACCTAAACATTTTTTAGTGCAAAGATTATAGGTATTGGAGAAAAGGAATGTGGTGCTTATAATCCTAATGGCATTAATATTGAAGAATTGTTCAATTATCATGTTAAAACCGGAACTTTTCGTGGTGCTCCCAATGTCGATGTTATTGAGGATACTTTAAAAGTATGATTTGAATGTTGTTAGATTTCCTATCTTTACAGATTTTTTAACGCAACAAGAATTTAGATTCTCGAATTGGATTGTGATATTCTTATACCAGC